CATTGATGATTAGACTTGAGATTTGTTTTTAGATAATTAGAACGAGGTTAATATAATCACTTAAACTTAATCATCATAATATCCATGCTTCTCCTACACATTGCGCTTCAAGCTTCAAAATCCCTAAAACTACAAAACAAACCCTATACTGAGAATCTTCATGGAGTTTAGGAAGTAATTTATAAAAATAGACTTAAAACATTCCATAGAACATAATGAATTCTATGATTTTCGTATTTAGGAGATTCCCAAACTTGAACTCTATGATTTTCGTATTTAGAAGATTCTCAAACTCTAGAACGACCATAAAAAGAGGAAGAAGAAGAAAAAAAGTTTTGCCTCAACAATTACCTCATAGTAGCTTTTAGCTTTCTTGATTCAAGGCACACTTCAATTTTACTCACTAGATATTTTTGTTCCTTTTTAAATCCCCATGGAATCTCTAATTTCTTTCTCTAAACCCATTTGAATGATTTTAGGTAAATTGAAGATAGTGTAACTACTTATGGTCTTCTCTAATTTACACGTTACATCCCCTCTTTAAGTTCACACATAACCAAGTAATGGCATAAATATGTACATTTCCAATATGTTTCATGTATGGTCATTCTCCCATGAATTCTTATGATATTTAGGTCCTATACACCTAGTTTGGCGGATCAATTCCAACTTTCAACAAGTTCAAAATTTTAACCTTTTTTCTCGATTTTTCTAATCAACCACAAAATTCATGACTTCAATAATCATTTTAATTAACAATATAACTTTATTTATTATCAATATTACTATTATTTATTTATTTAATTATTTTGTTCAATTTCAAAAAGATTACTTTTACTAAATAACTTAAAACTTTTAGACCCTAGATGTGAATGTTACAAACATACATACATTGCACACAATATTTAATAGATTCACACAAATAAATAAATAAATGCACTTGCATTCATTTTCATATATATATATATATATATATATATATATATATATATATATATATAATATATATATATATATATATATATATATATATATAAAAGAATTTGTATTTTTTTTAAAGAATATAATGACCAATATGCATAACGATTAAAAGAGTCAAATTTTTCTTTTTGAAACAATGCATATTTGTGCATATACACATATATGTATATGAATTTATGTACATATGTACCTTTTCTTTTTTTACTTTTACAAGCTTTTAAGGTTTGAAGGAGTAGTGTTATGTTTGTCATTTCGCTACTTCAACATTTTTACATCCATCCGTTATTTTTGTCATACAAGATAAATGACATTCCACTTTAAAGAGATGGGTCAAAATTGTTTTTTACTTTTATTTTGAAAAGAAAAAAAAAAAGAAATAGCTTTTAGCCCTCACACTATCTCACCTTTCATATCAACATTGCAAAGCCATTTACAACCTTTTTCTCGGCATACCACCGTCATTGGGCGGTGTATGCCAAGTTTGCCACCTATTTACCGAGTATATTGCCGAACCATACCCTTAAGTATAAACATTATGTATGCTATATATAAATATTTATTTGGTTGATAAAATTCATATACAAAATATTATATTTTTGTTATAATTCCCTCCATCATTTGAGTTTCTCACTTCATTTTAGTAAAATATCCTATAGGTATGTAGGTCATAAATAATGATTTTGCATTATTTAGAATAAAACATAGCTTTTTACGAAAAAATAATTTGACATAAAGGCGACGGTGTGAATAATGTGAAGAACGATAGTATCGAGATAGATATCCAAATATCAGATTGGAATTGAGATGTTAGTAGGAAGATTATGACTTTTAAACTTTAATTTCTATATGCTATTTGTGGGCCTTTAACTTATTATATCATTTAAAGTTGAAATATCAATTAACAATTTTTGAACCATGTGCCATTATCTCTTGTCACGCATTATATTTTCATAAGAAAATATATTCATAAGAAAATATATTCATTGAATATGGATATATATTATGTTCGACTTATTTATCGAAGAAGGATGAAACTACGCAAAATATTGAAGACTAAGTTGAAATAAATTAGGTCGAAAATTGTCCAATGTATATATTTTAATTCCTATGCTATAAATTAATTATTTCAAAGGTTGATTGTTATTAAATATTACAACTAATTATGAGACTCATATACCACAGATTGATTAAAAAAACTAAATATAAAAGTCTAAGCATTAAATATTTTTAAAGTAAAATTTAAGAATAAATACGATTGTAATGATTACTAACTATTTTAATCTATACAAATAAAAGAAAATTATTGTCATATTTTAAAGAAATGATGAACATTCGAAATCCGATTAATAACTCTAGATTTTGAGCAAAATTTTTATTTTTTACTTAAATCTAACAAAAAGTTAAACAAATATAATGAATTTGGACTATAACAATATTAGGGCATGAAGTCATACATTAGATTGAAAAATTGTTACATTAAACATTTCAAAATAGATATTTCAGACATAAACAGATAAATTTGTTGGGAAATAAAATAAAAACAAACTAAAAAATTTGAAGATCAAATTTGGAATAGAGCATTCGAAAATAAGCAGTCATTTTTCAAAAATTGAAAAGCAAATAGGTATTTTCTTTAAAGGATGGGACCTTAAGTTTTTAAAACCACATTTAACATTTTTTTCATTTCATATATATATATATATATATATATATATATATATATATATATATATATATATATATATATATATATATATATATATAGAGAGAGAGAGAGAGAGAGAAAATAGGTATTTTCTTTAAAGGATGGGACCTTAAGTTTTTTAAAACCACATTTAACATTTTTTCATTTCATATATATATATATATATATATATATATATATATATATATATATATATATATATATATATATAAATATATATATATATATATATATATATATATATATATATATATATAAAAGAGAGAGAGAGAGAGAGAGAGAGAGAGAGAGAGAGAGAGAGAGAGAGAAAGAGAGTGAGAGAGAGAGGTAAGTTTAATTGAAAAAATAAAAAAGGTTGAGAATAGATAAATCATTCTTAACTAATCATTTATTTATGTCATAAAACTCTCCATTATATCAAATGGAAATGTGGTTTCCAACAAAACATGTTTTCTTAAACCATGTTATCACCTTAATATATACAAAAACATATGATTTTTTTTTCATTTATTTTATTTTATTTTAATTTTAAAGAGCTATTTCTATCGAAAAATGATTTTTAATATATATTAAAATTCATAATTTTTTTATTCTCTATAAACAGATATCCATATAGATATAGTTTTAAGATAAAATATTTTTTTATAGTTTCAGTTCTCATTATTTATAAATGAATAAAAGTGAATCAAAATTTTATTACAATTTCAACAGTCGTTATTCATAAGTGAATAAAAATGCATCAAATTTTTATTACAATACATTCGTTATTCACTTATAAATAAAAGGGTTTAGGTCACTTTTGGTTATTTAACTTTTGGTTTTGTG